GGAGAGTGAGTCAGATATTACTGATCCTTGGTGGGTTAAAATGGTTTTAGTTTATACAAACAAAATGCTTCCGTTGCTAAACTCGTAGTTTTGACTATTTATTTTAGACTATTTTTGAATAAAAACCCAACAAAGTGGTCAAAAATCATACCCTTAGGGGTCTATTTATAGATGCAAGATATATAGGATAAATCCTAATTTTGATATTAAAGTATTCATATTTAATTAGATATCATTGGGAAAGAGACTTCCAGAACTCTTATGGAGGAGCCTCAAAACCGTCCAATGTTATGAGGGTTCCAAAATTTCATTTTTGCTCAACTATTAAACAATTATAATTCAACTCTTTTACCTTTAATTAATTCTAATTATCTCAAAATTAATTTCTAATTAATTCTGATTAATTCTAATCAATTTTTAATTAATTTATTAATCATCTAATAAATTAATAAATCTTTTTCTCTCTCTCCTAATATTATTTCTACCTATTTCTTGATATGAGGACAACCCAAAAACGATTTTGTTTTTATTCAAAAGAATATACTAACTGGGTTAAGACCTTAGACAACTTAATCCAATATTAGTTTCCTAGCAATGTAAGTAACAAGTTTCTTACAATTATAATCTGACGAGAATAGAATAGATAGTAAACAACCAATGTAGGCTCTGATACCAATTGTTAAACTAGGATTTCTTAGTAACGACAAGAATGTAAGTGCGGAAGAATAAAACTTAATAACTAATATATAAGATAATAATGATAGACCAAATACGTAAATAGATACACATGATGAACAAAAGAGCAATTTGGTGTTTTATGAAGGCCGTCTTAGAAAGACATGTGAAAGGTGTAAGGAGAACTACAACTATGTTTGCATTTTATAGACAATGCAAAGAAGTCAATGTTGTAAATAAATCTTGACACAAGATTGACCCCGGATGCTCTGCGACACAGTTAATAATTGAGTTTCTTAACTAACTAATAGATATTGATTGCCATTGCAAAACGACAAAACATAAAATTACTTCTCCTGACGACATCCTTCGGACAACTTTTCTCTTCCGACAAACACACTCTTCGATCAACAACTAATATCGGTCTTCCGCAGAGGGTTACTTGAAGGTTTAATTAAATGTATAAAAAGAAATGAATTTACCTTGCAAGTATGGATTTAAACTGATTTTGTGTGATCACCAACTGAATACGACTACTTACACACAAACTACAATAATTGTTTTTGCTCATAAGAAGATTATAGACTTTGACTCCCCATAAATATACGATTCCTCTAGAATAAGAAATCGACCCTTTAACTCGAAATAAAATGAAAAAACTTTTAAAGCGTGAAACTAAATGTATAAAATGAAGCAGATTTACTTAGCATCTACGGCTTTAGAGTGAGTTTATTTGATCATTTGATGAATGCGCCTATTTATACACAAGGTAAAATAATTGTTTTTCAAATAAGAAATTTATAGACATGGACTCCCCATCAATATTCCACTCCATGAGAATAAGGATTTGACTACAAACTACAAATGTAAAGAAAAGAAAAACCTTTTAAGCCTCAAACTAAATATATAAAATAGAAATAATTTTACTTTGCATGTATAGTTTTAAACTGATTTTGTTTGATCACTAATTGAATACTACTACTTATACACAAACAAAAATAACTCTTTTTAGCTCGTAAGAAGATTAAAGATATGGACTCCCGATCAATAAATATTGACTCCTCGAGAATAAGAATGCGACCATTTAACTAGAAAAAAAAACGAAAAAAAATAAAAATTAAAGTCTAGAACTAAATGCATAAAATAAACAGTTTTACTTCGCATCTATATAGGTTTAGACTTATTTTATTTGATCTTTAGTTGAATACGACTATTCATACATAAGCTAAAAAAACTGTTTTTGCTTATATGAAGATTTATGACATGGACTCCCCATCATTCTACGACTCTTTGAAAACAAGAATTTGACCGTTTAATTAGAAAAACGAAATGAAAACAAAATTCTTTTAAGGGAATTTTATTTATTAAGGTAATTAATTTTTCGGTTTGTTCATATATATGTAATTATTTTTTTTTGTACATATCTAGGTAACAAACTTTTTAGAAGTGTTCACATATGACCATTATGACCGGCTGTAGCAGGTTACTATTTTTTTAAACTTTTTTGTACACATCTAAGTAACAAACTTTTTTTTGTACACATTTGGATAACTTTTTTTTGTACCACACCATTTTGGTAAATATATTTTAAAAATACACTACTTTGATAAAAAATAAAAAATAATAATAAAAAAAATAAAAACTCAAGATTTGACAGGGAAAAAAATACATCGTCGTTTTATAGAAGTAGCTTTTATCTGAAGGCCAAGATACCTGGGGTGGTCCGGCCTACGAGGCGGTGCAGACATGCCGAAGACCCGGAGAGCGGTCCAGATAGGTTGTAGGCCCTACGAGGCGGTTCGGTCATGCTGAAGGCTCTTAGAGCGGTCTAGATAGGATGCAGGCTCTGAGAGGCGGTCCGGCCAGGCTGAAGGCTCATATATGCATGATGTTATATGTATGGTTGTGTGTGGTGTATGGGGGAAGGAGAACTTACTAAGTTTTGGCTTACAGTTTAAGTTTTATATTTCAGGTACTTCAGATGATCGGAGAAAAGCAAATGTATGACCGTACACGTCCTTCGGTGACTTGTTTTGGAGATATTATGATATATTGATTTTGGAACATTTGTATTCGATCTTGGGTTCTTATGATTTGGGTTGATTGAAAACAATGATTTCTCTTTAATTAAAAATGAAAAAAAATTAGATTTTGGGATGTTACAGGACTTTTTTTGAAAATTTTGAATGTTTGACTTTTTGACCGGGTTAGACCGCCTAGACCGCCAATGACCACCCAAGACTGCCTAAGGCAGCCTAGGACTGCCTATGACCGACTCTGACTAGCTTGACCGACAAGCATTAACCGTAGACAGTAAGAAGTCGACTAGTACCAAGGCACTGCCATGTTGTGACAAAAAACGACTCCCAACATATCGTGACTAATATAAATGCTCATAAATATTGTTTTAAGGAAATTTAACTGAATTTATTAATATTGCAAGCATTATGATCGATTATTTAAATAAAAATGAAAATTGATTTATCAGGATAATTACCTTTTCGTTTTGTTCATATTTGGGTACCTTCTGATTTTTTATATACATTTACGTAACGAACTTGTTGAAAGTGTTCACATATGATCATTATGACTGGATGTAACCTGCTATAGTCGGTCATAATGGTCATATGTGAACACTTCCGTATACAAAATAAAAATAGTTATCCTGTGAACAAACCGAAAAGTTAATTACCTTAATAAGTCAAATTCTCTTCTATTAATCCTAGAACTAAATGTATAAAAAATAAAAAAATAAAAACAATTTTACTTTATATGGTTTTAAACTTATTTTGTTTTATCAACAAGTGAATACAACTAGTTATACAAAAACTAATATAATAGTTTTTGCACATAAGAAGATTATAGACATGGACTCCCCATGAATATAGGACTCCACGAGAATAAGAATTCGACCCTTTGACTAGAAATATAACTGAAAAAAAATTTAAAACCCAGAACTAAATGTACAAAAAAAAAAAAACAATTTTACTTTACATCTATGTCTATAGGCTGATTTTATCTGATCAAAGGCTGGAAACGACTATTTATACACAAGCTAAAATTATTGTTTTTGCTCGTAATAAAATTATTAACATGGATTCCCATCAACAATTGACACTTTAAAAATGAAAAAATTGGAAAGTTATAGAATATCCGTGACTAATCTGTAAAATTTTAAAAATGTTACGAGACTCTTTCGAAAAAAAAAAAAAGACGAACAACGGTTTTTTGTTTAAAATGTTGAATTTGTAATCGGTTTTATAAAAATTTTCCGTAAAAATATAAACACTTGACAATAATTAAACATAGACATCATGTTAACATAAAAGTCCAAAAGATTGATTAGTAAGTCTCATCGGTTTGAATAGTCATACGATAAAAGCAAATGTGAACCAGCTGTTTCACCATTTTGAGACACACAGTGAGCGTGTTGGTATGTGTTAGAGTGTAAGTACAGGTTAAGCAAGCAGTAATGGTATAAACTGAAAAAGGAAACTGTCAAAAAAGCCTGAAATAACACCATCCCCACTTCAATCCAAACATCTCTCTCTCTCTCTCTCTCTCTCTCTCTCTCTCATAAGTATGTGTGTTAGAAGAGTCATCCAATGAGTTGAAACCATGAAAACCTTATCTTTATATGTCACCAGACTGCAAAATTCAGAAGCCTGCTTTCAAAAAAGACTGCAAAAAATCTATCTTTTCTCCATTCAATGTCAATGTCACGGCCTTCAATGTTCCCTCTTTCTTTAAGCCTTCCGTTTAATGTGTAATCACTTCGTCATTATCATTATGCATAATAGGACAAATCCGAAGTGGGGATTGGGGTAGATTCAAAGATACAGTGGACATATTAGGGTAAAAGTTCCATTTGATAAAGTTTTTTTTAAACTGTAAAAACTTTATATTTATAAGCATCAACACTTTAGCAAAAAAGATGGTCGTTTATGACGGAAAAAAAGGTGATCTGTGTTTTAAAAAGTCAATCATCCGACACCTTCCGCGACTTTTCTTTCCTGTAAAAGATCGATAATTAGTTTACAATGGAAGGTAAATGGCAAGATAGCTTGAACAAGCTAATAATAACAGAAAGTAACTCAAAAACCCAATGAAAGATCGAAAGATATGTAAATGGAGTACACTTTGTTCTTGGTTAATTGACTACATGACGATAATGACAAGTTGAGATGATTTGACTGAACAATAAAGATCATGAGTTACTCAAAAACCCTAATAAATTTGAAAAAAAAGAAAGAAAGAAAGAAGTGCTGATGATGAAGTTCCCTAAACCAGCTTTCGTGGAAGATCACTTAAAACTATTTTCTTTTTCAATATGGCGGTGGGTGTTGCGGAGCTTGCCGTGCTGTAGGTGCCCAGATAACATCAGCAGGCAGGTGGCAGCTATACATCGACATAGAATCTGCCGCCGTTGATGGCGGCCCATGATGCCCACCGCTATCTCCGCCAGCTGAACCTGCTGGTGGAGACTGATCACTTGCTGCAGCTGACCCAGTCCCACCGCCGGAATTTCGAAGGTTGTCATCTTCTTCTGAAGGTAACCGATGGTAGAGAGGGTTGTTGAAAGACGCCGCAATAATGAAGACTGTTCCGGCGGACATGAGTGGGCCGGAGACTGCTCCTCCAACTATCTGCCCCTGCGGACCTGCTAATGATATGGTGAAACCGTTTGCAAAGGGTGCCACGGCGGTTGATGGAGTTAAGGACGGGAGAACAGTGGCAGAGATTGAAAGAATATCGAACCGGCCGTGGAACGTAACGGTGGCTCCAGGGGTGGTGGAGGGTTGTCGGAGGGAAACGTTAGCAACAGTCCCTGAGCCGGTTAAGACACAAAGCCCCATATTCCGTTTCCGGCAGTATCGAGCCACGGCGTCGACGATATCGATTCCTCCGGGGAGTTCCAGTACATATGGAGACATAGATGGTTCAGGTTCTCGAGTAATTACGATTGGTGGTTTGGGTTTGTTTTTAGATCCGGGTGGACGGCCTCTGGGTCGTCTGGCCACTTCGATAGATGCTCCGTCGTTGACGGTGGTGCTGACATCTTTCTTGGTTTGGGTGGGTGTGATCGCATGGTTGGGACTACGGCTGCGGCTATCAGCTTCTTCTGATGTGTTACTGAGCTGAAACTGGTGGCTAGAGATGGCAAAATGCTGCGGCGGCGGTGTTTGTTGTTGTGCTTGGTGGTGGTGATGCTGGAATTTTGAGAACATGGTAGTAGAAGGTCGAGAACCTTTATCTTCTCGATATTCTCCTTTCATTCCTTTGAAGTAAATCAAAATTTTCGAATTTTAAATCTTTATAAATGAAGAAAAGTCGTGGTTTGTGTGTGTGATTAATGCGTGAGAGAAAGATATGGTGGAAGAGGGGGGTGGCGGTGGGTGAGCTTGGAATTCAAGTAAAGATTGCGCCGCTGGTTGAAAGGTAAACTGGGCCCACAATGTGAAAGATTAGAAAACGAAGGTAGGATATATACGATATGACCAAGCCTATTGTTATCCAAAAATCCATACAATACAAATTTTTGCATGTAATTAATTATGAAATTTTTAATAAAATATTTTAAAAGTAAATTGAATAATCAAACCATAACTATTTTAATAAAAATAACCAATTTTATTTTTCGATAAAATTATCACATTCTCTAGAACATAGCATTTTGTAATTGTGGTATCTGTTCCAGAGTTTCTTTTTCGGACCTTGTAATTTGGATTATAACATTAATTCTCGTATCCGA